GTGTCATCTCTGTTGCTTTTGGACAGACCACCCCTTATTCAACCTGACAGTAAAACCACAACCACCATCACACATCAGAGGATTAATGGTGACCAGGCGTCGCATCAGGGGCTCCCGTACAGAAGGCACATGTCCCCGCCCCACAGCCCAGTCTGCAGAAGGGGAGGTGGGCCGCACGGTGCAGAGGAGAGGCCCCAGCAGAGCACTCTGCTCAGGCTCCAGTCTCCATCCGAGGGCTCCCTGGGGCAGCACAGGGCCTCCCCTAGACCCCCAAGGCAGCAGCCCCCTCAAAGACTCCAACTCCACCCATCAGGCCAGGCTGCCCCATTCTCCCCACAACGAGGTGGGCCAGATCGCACACCCTTGGCTTTAGGGCCAGGACAACTGCCAGGGCCCAAACCTCTGCCAGCAGGCCATGCAGAGCCCACACAGCTGTATCCTTTGGCCAGCAGGATGAGTCATCAAATTAGAATTAGCCACCAATGTTTGAAAAAAACCACTGAATCCACAGAAAAACCCAGGTTTCCCGTTGTTCTCAGAAACACAGATCTGGCCACACTGGACTACCTATATTTTTTCATGGCAACATGGGTCCCCCAGGACACGACGCATGTGATCCAGTCCCCTCTATGGCCAGTGGATGCCTTGCCCAAATGCACATCCCTCAGGGTCCTGGCACTTTGAACCTGAGGCCAGCGGTGACCACAGTCATGTGGGGGTTAGAGAGCCCCGCTAGGTCCGGATGGAACCCAAGTCCCTTCTTCAGCAGTGATCACACAAGGGACAGCCCCCACCCCCACCCACCAGGGAGTTCACCCACAGTGGGGTGGGGTAGCCCCAGGCTCTGGCGATCCTGTGGGCTCAGCCCTCTTCCCCACCCCTCTCCTGCCATCAGAGATGGTGCCCCCAAGAGTTGTGTTTCAGCCACTAAGGGATACCTAAGTACTGCAGCCAACATTCCCAGAGCACAGAGGCCTAGAAAGGTGGCGACCAATTGTCCACTCCTGGCCTGCCCTGCCCGAGACACGCCCAGACAAGAGCAGGCACAGGGCCTGGAGGCAGAGATGCTCAGACTGCACCTGGGTTGAGAGTTCTTGCCACCCTCTGTGAACAACGGGATAGTGGGAGTCGATGACAAGATCTCAAGCACCTTCAGTGGCATGGAGAAAAAGACCCCGGTGGGGATCCAAGAAACAGGACAGGAGGAGCAGGTCCATTAAGTAGGGTGCCAGGAGGGTGTGGAGAGTCATTATGGCAAGCTGCAGCCCCCAGGCCCACACCACGTGGCATGGTGAGCCATGTCCTGGCCAGGCGCCCCCCTGCCTGGGAACCCCCTCCCCTGGCTGCTCTCCTGCAGCTCAGCTGAAATGGAATAAACAAGAGGCAAGTCCAGATGTGCAGAAAACCACTTGTTGGAATAAATAACTTTCCATACGACACATACTATGTTAAATTACAAACACTGATGCTATTATAAAAATAATGGCACAGCACTTTTTATTTTCTTTAATCAGAAAAATATGTCCCATATTTCTGGGAGGGAGACCAGGTATCTGCAGGCCCTGCTCTGGGTGTCAGGGTCTTCACGACCAAGCAGGGAGGAAGGCTTGGGCCTGGAAACCGGGGTGGGGTGGGGTGTGAGGGGCGGGGTGTGTCTGTGGCCTCCAGGAACCAGGTCACTGCTAGAAGTGGTCATCACAGCCGCGTGAGACGGGCGCATGCAGCACTGAGCCCTGGTGGCTGACGCTGCTCTCCCACCTGTGCTGGGACTCCAGGGGCAAAGGGTGGATGACCCTTGAGTGCAGACGTGGGTCTGGTGGCGGGGTGGGGGTGCGACAGAGAAAGCCTTGTAGTGTAAGGTCCTGATGGGGGACGTCCTGGAGGGCCGGGAGCCAGAAAGCTGTAGGGGACCAGTGGGAGGCTGGGAGCAGACATTCTGGGATGGCCTTGGTCCTGCAGGCTTTCTTGGCCCAAAGCTGGGGAGGCGGGTGGGAGACTCTGCCCTCCGCCTCACTGCCCAGTCACCAGGGTGGAAACAGACTCCCGAGGCGACCCTCCTTGGCACCAGCAGACCCTAATCAACCATGGACGGCCCTGAGTATCCTTCAGGCCCTCTCTCCATGTCACAGGACCCTGGAACTGGACAGACACGACCCTTGACCAGAGAGAGGGCAGGCAAGCAGGAGCCCGGGCCTGGCTCTGCTTGTGCCCACTTAGTGCCTGGTGAGGGGCGTGGGGAATGCACACTGGCCAGATGGAGCGGGACCCAAGGAGGGCAAGCCCTACAGCTGGCACACCTCCCAAAATCTCACACACAGACACACTCTCTCTCTCCATGGACACGCGCACACTTGCAGACCACACACCGCGTACATGCACACACACACTCACTCTCTGAACAGTACACCTGGGCATGGAACTCCAACACTAAAGGACACGTGGGCACTTTTAGAGGCACAGAGAGATGCTGAAGGATCGCCCCCCCACCCCCACCCCAAGCCTGAGCCCTTGGGGGTAGCGGTGTTCCCTCTCCTGAAGGCGTGCAAGTCACAACGCAGTGGGCACAGTGGGGGTGAGAATGTGGGAGGTGGGAAGGTGCTGAGGTCCTCTCCTCTCTTCCTGGTGCAAGGGGGCCTCCGATTGGTGGCGGCCCTGAAGGGGGCTCCCGCCTCTGCTGAGCCCTAGCTTCCAACCACAAACAGCCCGGCCTGTCTGGAGAAGGCCTCTGACCAGTCTGACCACACATCTCAGGCTGCAGGGTAAGGGGGGCCTTGGCCCGGCTCAGCAGAGCCACACCTGGGGTGGTCTGGGAAAACAGGCATCAGGCTCCAGGGCTCACGGACGGGGCCTGGCGGGCCACTGCAGGGGTGGAGGATCGAGTCCGTCGTGACCTCAGGGGCTGGCAGGGTTGGCCCGGGGCCAGGAGGGAGAGCTGGGGCTGATGGGCCCGCACCAGGTTCAGCAGGGACTGCCGTGGCTGGCTCGGGGGCCCCAGGAGAGGCCGGCGGGGTGGAGCTGGCCGACCTAGAAGTGAGGGGCGCTCAGGTAAGGGGAGTAACGGCTGGGGCTTGCAGGGCTGGCTCGGGCCCAAAAGTGACCGCAGGGGCTGGCAGGGCTGTTCTGGGCCCAAAAGTGGCTGCTTTCGTCGGCAGGGCTGTTCTGGGCCCAAGAGTGGCCGCTTGGGCGGGTGAGGCTGTTTTGGGTCCATGAGTGGCCGCTTTTGTTGGCACGGCTGTCCAGGGCCCAGCAGTGAAGGTTTGGGGGGGCCAAGCTGCTCTGGGGCTTCAACTAACTGCTGGGGCTGATTGAGACCAAGCAGTGACCGCCGGGGGCGGCTGGGCTGGCCCAGGAGGGATCTTCGGGGCTGGCATGGGGCTAGGAACGCCCGCCGGGGGCAGCAGCACTGGCCTAAGTGTGAGCTGGTGGGCCGGCGACGTGGACGCAGCATGAGGAGCGACTGGGGGGGCTGACACCGCTGACACTGGGCTAGCAGTGATCGAAGGGGCCGGCACCGCTGTCCTGAGGATGCCCTGTTGGGCTGGCCACGGAAACACGGGCCCACCCCTGACCGCATGGGCCAGCAGCGGTGCCAGAGGGCCAGCAGGGACCGGCAGACGTGGCACGGGACCAGGATGGATCGCAGAGGCCGGCAGCGGTGCCACGGGGCCAGGATGGACCGTAGGGGTCGACAGAGGTAACAAGGGGCCAGGATAGACCGTAGGGGCCGGCAGCGCTGCCATGGGGCCAGGAGGGAGCGCAGGCGCCGGAAACGCTGCCTGGGGGCTAGTGCCCAACGTGGCTGGTGGGGCTGAGCTGGGAGTGACTGCTGGGGCCGGCAGGGCTGATTTGGGGCTGGAAGCAGCTGCTGGGGCCGGCAGGGCTGACCTGGGCCCAGAAGTGACCGCCGGGGCTGGCAGGGCTGTCTTGGGCCCAGAAGTGACCGCTGGGGCCAGCTGCGCTGACCCGTGAGTGGCCGCTGGGGCTGGCAGGGCTGCCCGGGGTCCGGGGAAGCCCGACGGGGCTGGCAGCGCTGACACGGGGCTGGGAGTGACCCCTGGGGCTGGCTGGGCTGGAGCTGCTGCTGGCGCTGGGCCGGGCCGTTCTGGTCCCAGTGGTTGGCTGGGAGCGGCCCCCCTTCTGGGGAGCACACCTGCATGGAAGAAAGAGCACGTGTCCACCTGGGCAGGTGTGTCTGCAGACCCCCCATCCAGCCCGGGTCCCTGAGACATGCTGCCCCTCACCAGCATTCCAATCCCCAAGGGAGTTGAAAGTGGAGTGTGAAACACCAAGAAGAACCCCCTCTCTGAAAAGAAGGCGCAAACCAGTGAGTCCCTGAAGAGGAAAGCAGCTGCAGTGCTGAGCCGACACCTAGGACAGAACCCTGCACTCTGGGAGATAAGCCCCTGGCCCCAGTTTCCCTGCCCCATGCCAGCTGGGCTCTGGGTAACAGCAAGGATCACCCCACACTGAGGGCCCGCTCCCAGCGGGGCTGCTCCTTGCACCTGGACCACCAAACAGAAGTGATGTGACTCCCCTCGTCTTGCAGACACTGCGCTTCGCATAAGTTTAGCACATGGAGAGCACCCAGCAATGAGCCTGGACCCCACGCATTACAGACACGCTGGACACCCTGTAGTCGGCGGAGCCTGACAGACGCAATGGGGAAACGGGGCCAGCCTATCAGCGGTGCACCCTCCCGTCCCGCCTGAGTCAAGACCCCCCCTAGCCCCCAGTTCCTGGCCTGGTGTCGCCTCTCTCTGGCTGTGACCCACCCGAGGTGTCTCTTGCCTCTATTCAGGACCCTCAGACTTCCGGCGGATGGGCGCCCCTGGCCCTAGTCCACGTGTGCCCCATACCCCACCCCCGACAACGACGGAGCACGTTGCCAGGGAGGCCCAGCTGCCGATGGGTGGTGTCCAGGTGCTGGTGTGGCCCCGAGGCTGCCCAGGGGCAGAGGGCACAGAGCCCATGGCTCTGAATGGGAGGGGCCCGGGACTCACCTGCTTGGTGGGCTGCAGAGGGACCTTCTTCTTCCCTCGGTCACAGGGGGTCTCCAGGTCCTGCTCAGAGCTGCCTGCCTCCAGGGGCCGCCCGTTCTCACTTGGCTCTGCAGACGGGCAGTTCTCTGCCTCCCGGGGCTTCTTGACAAGGCGACGTTCCCACTTCTCCTTCCGCTCGTGTGGCTTCAGGGCCATGTCCTTCTGCGGGGTAAGGAAGAACAAAGCCAGTTAATCGGTGGTGACCCATGGTTCCAAGTGTTAGCTATCCCACCTGTGACACCACGAGAGACTGTTGTGCCAAAGGTGGGGCCCTGTGCACGTGACAGCACCCACGTGGAGGGGCTGCGGCCCGGGCCACAGCTCACGCCGCCCTCACAGCGGGCTGTCAGGCTACCACTCGAAGCTTGCGAAGGAGCCTCCCACCCTGGGGGGGCCGCGTGAGGGGAGTGAAGGGAGATGGAGGGATGGGTAGGGCACAGATGGGTCAGATGAGTATGGGCGGGCCTGTCAGGACTGGGGGTTTGGGGAGGATGACTGGGGTGTTTCCCAAGGAGCCCAGCCAGTAATAGCGTGCCCTGATCCTCGGCCCAGTGTGAAGTCTCGACCAAGCTCACAGGAAGCAGGCACTGAGACTGGTGGCTGTGCTGGCCTCTGTGAGACATGGCCCATCCTGGGAGTAACCCTTGGATTCCCAATCTGAGACCAGGGTGAGCCCTGGGCTGAGGGCCATTACCACAGTAGCTGGCCAAAGGCAGAGATGTTGCAACTCCAGCTGCCTCCTCCTCTGGTCCTAAGCCACCCGTGGGTCTATCAGCCCAAATTCCCTGCAGCCTGGCATCCTGACCAGATGGGAGCTAACCTGGGAAAGCAGTCTCCATCTCAGCCAGGCGTGCAGGGCTTTAGTGAGTGACCCCAGATCCAGCCCTAGAGCAGAGATGTGGGCCAGCCCTGCTCACAGCTGTACCCAGAGCCTGGAGCTGAGCCTGACACACAGTGGGGGTTTAACAAGCATGTGTTACACTGATGCTGAGGACAGTGTGGTCTCCCATCCCATCAAGCCTCTGCACTGCCTGCACAGCTCCTACTATGCAGAGGTCTATATGCCCTGCCCCGCCTCCCCCCCAACACTCACAGCCCTGCCCATGTGCCTGGAACCCAGGAGGACCTGGCACTGACATGCACTGAGCAGGTGAGGTGCCTCTTGCTGGCACCCACGGAGAAGCTGGAGACAGCTACAGCACCCCTGGGCTGCTGAAGAGAGAGGCAAGGAAAAGCCAACAAGGGGCTCAGCAGACTCCAAGAGCATTTGTCCAGGGAGGAGGGGGGGAGGAAAGCCTGAATGAGCGCAGTGGGGACTTTATCCCACAGCCCTGCAAGAAGTGTCCCCAGGCACATAAGCGGGTGGCAGCAAGGACAAGGTCCCAGTCTGCTCTGGTCCCCTGGACTAGAGGCAGGAAACTGAGGTTTTGTGCTTGCCGCGTGGGGTCCTCCAACTCAGGGTCCGCAGCCACCTTAAGAAGACTCCCCACGTCCCTCTTCCCACCCAGTGACCGGGACCCACACTTTCCAGAATTTACCAGGGGCGCCGATGAGGCCAACCAGACTGGAGTTGTCCCTCCAGACACAGAAGCACCCTGACTGCCCTGTCCGATGTGGCCCGTAGCCCAGCCCGGGAGCAACCATGTCCAACTTCAGCCAGACTGACCACCCAGTTCCGCGCTGCACACTGTGGCGGTAGCAGATCCCTCCCCTCTCCCAGGCCCAAACCCACAGGCACATAGACTTGGAGCTTGAGCAGGATGTGGGGAGTGAAATGCCATCCACAGCCTCTCAAGAGGAAGCATGTTGCACCCTGTGACGCCTGCCCCCTCACCAAACACTGGCACACTCACCTTCCTGCACACCCCTGCCCTATCCTCAGTGTCAACTCAGGGGTATCAGGAAGAGAGAGGAATGGTGTCCCAGTGGGGATGGGGGCTCCTAAAGGTCAGCTGAGCCGTGGGGCCACAGGTGGGGCACTTGTCCTGGGACATCCATGAGGTCAGACTGCTGCCACGCAGCAGTCCTGTCAGCCTGGAACTCAGGTCCCCACTGATGACCTGCCAGGCCCACAGTTGTGGATCTGACCAAAGTTCCAAAGGCAGATTCTGCCTGAGTGGCAAGGGGGACCCAGACTTGCTGGGTGCAGAACAGCCCCCTTCCCATGCTCACACTCTGGGTTATCAGACCCCAGAGACACCCACAGGTCACCTGCACTTTTGTAGCCGCCTCTGGAACCCCCCAGGGCACCAGCTTGTCTCAGTCGGAAGGGGCCACTCCCCACCTCATGCCCCGCTGACAAGAGTCCCTGCTGATCCCAGGACTTCCCATGCCTGCCCCTCCCACAGGAATCAGGCCAACTCATTACAGTGGCAGTGAGCACCGACTGTATGCCAGCTCGGCTCCAGGCACCTGGGATCAGATCAGGAGGGAGCCGGCCCATCAGGCGAGTTGTCATGACTCCCAAAAGGAGAGAAGGCTAATGCAGACAAGGAAGTGGAAGGGAAGGAGCCGCTTCAGAGGTGCATGCCTGTCTCCTGGGGACGGGAGGGAGGCCAAGAGGAAGGCTCTGACATCTGACCGCAGTCAGCAGCTGGCCCTGCATGTGGCCACGGGCTTCCCTGGGGAACAACACTGATGCTGTGCCTCCACTGACAGAAAGCACTGGTGAACACAACAGCTCGCTTCCCACACGCAGGGTGCTCAATACATATGGACTCCTGCTGTGCCCATGACACATGAATGCCAACCCCTTTACAGACAGAGGCCACGGCCCAGAGAAGTCCAGAGAGATTCCTGGTCACCCAACTGTAAGCAGCGAGGCCCCCAGAACCCCCACCTGTACACTGTCGCCAGGCTGCAGGTCTGTCCCCTCAGAACCTCACAGACCACCCGTGGGTCTCCACCTCCCCCCAGCCTCCCATCTGAAGGTGGAGAAGGCCATAAACCCACTCAGAAGGCTTCCTCACGGCAGGGCGGGGCTTTTGTCCCACGTAGGTCTTCGGCAGACGGGACTGGGCTGGCCCACATGCAGGGAGACGCCTGCCACACTCAGTCTACAGATGGAAATGCAACCTCGTCCACACACCCTCCCGTCTGACCGAGCACCTGTGGCCAGGCTGACACAGCACTCGACAACACAGGAGGCACGGGCAGACGCCACCTAAAGGGCCCACAGGTACGGGGAGGCGGGGCTTTGAGGCCTCTCCCCCCACCCCCCCACAGGTGTGCACGTGCACATGCACACCCAGATATCGCAGCGGAGACAGGAGGCTGGGGCGGAGTCCCCACGCAGGACACTGCAGCTGTGCTGAGCAGGCCCCTGGGCCCAATCTCCCATCCCTTGGAGCCCCGCCCCTTCCCAACACGGGCGCTGTGACTTTCTTGTTGACACAGAAAGTGGCAAGCTTTCTCTCCCCACCCTCCCGTGGACCACTTCATTCTGGAAAGAGTAAGCCTCCTGCCCCTGTGTGGCCTGATCCTGAGGTGCGCACCTCATGCGTTACCGTGGGCTGAGCTCTCACAGGGAGGAAGGAGCAAGCTCCCACCTCAGAGCCTTCTTAGGGCCATCCAAGGCCACTTTTGACCTACATGGCTGAAGTTACAAAGGCTGTTTCTGGTCCAGGGGATAACCTCTGAGCTCTCACATCTGAGCCCCAGAGAGAGAACAGGGCTGCCTGTGACAGAAGTCTGAGCAAAGGGAGAGAATGTGTGGACGGTCCACCACCAACCATGAAACCTGCAGGGGCAACCTGCCCTAAGGGGTCACATGGTGGGGGGAGGGATCTGTCTTTCTAACAAGCATTTGTGAACCAAGGAGACAAAATGGGCTGGACAGGGAAGGGAAGCAAACATAGGGGTGACTTATGCGGTGGGCGCTGCAGATAGAACCTCCTCCGGGACCCTACCCCCTCTGGGCCGGGACTCTTCCCTCCCCCTGCCACTAGCCCCAGCGCCTCGGCAGGCTCTGGAAGGGCCTCAGGAAAAGTCTAGGTCATCTCTCCAGACACATCGGGCCACCGCATCATTCACGTGGTAAAAAGGACACATCTGTCAACCACGAATTGTTCTAACTTGTCACTTTTACTGTTATTTTTTCTTTAAAAAACTACCAGATTGTCAGAAAACTTGAAACACTAGTGCCTCTCTCCCCTGGACTGGACTCAGTCCAGCTCCAAACCGGCCACAGCCCACAGTGTCACGTGGGGCCCCAGGACAGGACCTTCTGCGTCTGGAAGAAGTGGGGAGCGGGAAAGTCACCTGCCCTGACCAAGTTGCCATGCACCCGGCGTGGGCCCTGTGCAGACAAAGCTCCCCAGCTTCCACAGGCAGGAGGCCTCGTGCCACACACGTCCTGGCTCCAAGAGAGGCCCACAGCATTTCCCGCCTGAAGGTTCGAGAGGATGAACTCTAAAGCCAACAGCCCTGCCAGTTTCCTCTCCTGGAAGGAAATTTGCTATCTCAGCAGGACTTCTCTGGAGCAGGGCTCACCGGGGGCCAGACGCCGCTCCCACAGCGAGTCACTGCCCTGAGAATGCTCCCAGAGCTCCCCGGGCTTCTGTTCTATGCATGCAGTTGGTGGGCACGAGCCAGCCCTGCCCCTGGTGCCGGGGCTGGGGCCGCCCTCGCCTGTGAGGCCCCAGTCCTGCGGTGGAGGGGGGTTGCCTGGGCCCCTTTAAAAAGGCTTAGCCATGCCTGGGCACATGCAGGGTCACTGCTCTGCCAGCCTCAATTTCCTCATCTGGAGATTGGAGCGGCAGCTGTGCCCAGGCCTGCGGGGGTTTTACCCACAGCTGCTTCTGGAGCCACACTGCAGGCCCACAATGCTTGTACTACAAGTGCTTCCGAGTACAAATGGGGCAATGAGGCACTGCCAAGGTTGTGACGATGCAGCATGAGCCAGGACAAACTCTAGTGCTCCAGGGTCTGGGGTCATGTCCACCAGCAACCCAGGAGCCTCCAGCCAGCCCCGGGGAGTGGCCAGCTCTTGCCATCACCAGAGGTGACACGTGAGGTGACCCTGGGTGGGCTGTCCAGGTAGCCCTCAGTCAGCATGGAGGCTCCGGGCCGCACCTGCGAGCACACATGGGCAGATGCAGCCATGCAGACGCCGGCACGCTCACCCGCACGCAGGGGGCCCTCAGAGCGGGTGCTGCTGGGCA